GTCGGTTATCGGCTGTAAAGATACTTCAGGCAGATCTAATTCTTCGGCTAATGTTTTGGCTTTTTCGGCTATAGTGTTTTTAAGAGTTGTAGGACTTAAAATATTTGGTAAGTGTTGGCTAAATGCTTCCTTAAGACTGAGACCCATGGTGGAAGAGGAATTGCTGAAATGAGGGTGAAATAAATCGAAATGTTTAATTCAGCAAGGAGAGATTTCTTTAGTAGATATTCGAATAATTCATTTCTTATTCGGTTTTAGTTCATGTTGAGTTCTAGTTCTGTTGTTTGTAATTCTGTTCTAGATCAGTTCTATTTCAAATCTAGTTCAGCTCCTAGATCATTTCTAGTTCAGTTCTAGTTCAGTTCTAGTTCAGTTCTAGTTCAGTTCTAGTTCAGTTCTTGTTCAGTTCTAGTTCAGTTCTAGTTCAGTTCTAGTTCAGTTCTAGTTCAGTTCTAGTTCAGTTCAGTTCAGTTCTAGTTCAGTTCTAGTCAGTTCTAGTTCAGTTCTAGTTCACTTCTAGTTCAGTTCTCGTTCAGCTCAAAGTTCAGTTCTAGTTCAGTTCTAGTTCCGTTCTAGTTCAATTCTAGTTCATTTCTAGTTCAGTTCTAGTTCAGTTTCAGTTCTAAGTTTCAGTTCTAGTTCAGTTAGCTAGTTCAGTCAGTTCAGTTCCTAGTTCAGTTCTAGTTCAGCTTTCTAGTTCAGTTCTAGTTCAGTTCTAGGTTCTAGTGTCTAGTTCAGTTCTAGTTCAGTTCTAGTTCAGTTCTAGTTCAGTTCTAGTTCAGTTCTAGTTCAGTTCTAGTTCAGTTCTAGTTCAGTTCTAGTTCAGTTCTAGTTCAGTTCTAGTTCAGTTCTAGTTCAGTTCTAGTTCAGTTCTAGTTCAGTTCTAGTTCAGTTCTAGTTCAGTTCTAGTTCAGTTCTAGTTCAGTTCTAATTCAGTTCTAATTCAGTTCTAGTTCAGTTCTAGTTCAGTTCTAGTTCAGTTCTAGTTCAGTTCTAGTTCAGTTCTAGTTCAGTTCTAGTTCAGTTCTAGTTCAGTTCTAGTTCAGTTCTAGTTCAGTTCTAGTTCAGTTCTAGTTCAGTTCTAGTTCAGTTCTAGTTCAGTTCTAGTTCAGTTCTAGTTCAGTTCTAGTTCAGTTCTAGTTCAGTTCTAGTTCAGTTCTAGTTCAGTTCTAGTTCAGTTCTAGTTCAGTTCTAGTTCAGTTCTAGTTCAGTTCTAGTTCAGTTCTAGTTCAGTTCTAGTTCAGTTCTAGTTCAGTTCTAGTTCAGTTCTAGTTCAGTTCTAGTTCAGTTCTAGTTCAGTTCTAGTTCAGTTCTAGTTCAGTTCTAGTTCAGTTCTAGTTCAGTTCTAGTTCAGTTCTAGTTCAGTTCTAGTTCAGTTCTAGTTCAGTTCTAGTTCAGTTCTAGTTCAGTTCTAGTTCAGTTCTAGTTCAGTTCTAGTTCAGTTCTAGTTCAGTTCTAGTTCAGTTCTAGTTCAGTTCTAGTTCAGTTCTAGTTCAGTTCTAGTTCAGTTCTAGTTCAGTTCTAGTTCAGTTCTAGTTCAGTTCTAGTTCAGTTCTAATTCAGTTCTAATTCAGTTCTAGTTCAGTTCTAGTTCAGTTCTAGTTCAGTTCTAGTTCAGTTCTAGTTCAGTTCTAGTTCAGTTCTAGTTCAGTTCTAGTTCAGTTCTAGTTCAGTTCTAGTTCAGTTCTAGTTCAGTTCTAGTTCAGTTCTAGTTCAGTTCTAGTTCAGTTCTAGTTCAGTTCTAGTAGTGGTCTAGTTCAGTTCTAGTTCAGTCTAGTTAGTTCTAGTTCTAGTTCAGTTCTAGTTCAGTTCTAGTTTTCAGTTCTAGTCAGTTCTGGTTCGTTTTTAATTCAGTAGCTAGAGACAAAAATATAATTAACTCACCTTTCCTCCTTCTCTTTTGCTACAGAAACTGCCTCCATTTTAGTAGAGGTGGTAGTAAATTCCACTGTATTTTATTATTATCTTCAGCCTCCCCCACCTCCTCCTTTTCATCTTGTACCACTGCATGACCAATTTCCACAATGCCTCCCTTTTGTTTTGGTTATCTCTCGAGCTATTACGACTTTTATGACGTTTTTTGCGTGGATTTAATATACCACTATGATGTAAGATATCATCATCAAAGTCCATTTCAGAGATTTCCTTAAAGACCTCTAAACGTCTATTTTGTTCAGCTTTAGAAGATTCTACTGCTAATTCAATGGGTATTTGGAGATTTAAAGTTTCTATGGGTGGCAATTCAAAGCATTCTTCGGCATTTGTTACGGGCTGTTCCTCGGGTTCATATTCGACCGGAGCCTCAAAGGAACCACATATGGAGGAGCCCAGTATGGGTACAGGTGGTGGCAAGGAAGGGTTGTATATAATTTTGGCTGTAAAGGAAATTAACAATTAGCTTTTTAAACTCTTATTTATTGGTTTACAGTTTTACCTGTCTTATTTGGTTTCTCGGGCATGGGTGCCAAACGCAGTAGCGAACGTTCACCCTCCAATACAAAATCTCTTTATTCCATACACAAAAATCTATAATTTTACGAAACCTTTGGCCACCGCCTCCACCCTTAAACGTTCTAAATTTAAAACATATAAAGCACGTTCATCGTGGGTCACTATTAAAGTATCTTCTCCTGCATACGAATAGATATACGAAATTCCTAACATCACCTATAGCCGGTAATTCTTCTTCCGTATGCATTGAGCTTGAAGTCATCATTGACTTATTATGCATAGAAAATTTTGGATTTAATATCGGTATTTCCCAAGTGGGACTTTGTGTAACAGCTTCACGAAACAATAAAGTCTTTTCCACATTACCCTCAGTATCGGCTAGCCAGAAACGTAAGTTAGGACGTCCGCATATTAAGCGAGGACGTTTGCCATTAACTGCTGACGAGGATTGTTTGAAAATGTACCACCACAATCGACCAATTGTTTGCGATCCTTTTTGCCAATTTGTGTAACAATCCAATTATCATTTTTATTCGATTTTGCATTGCGATGACAAACTATGGAACGGTAAAGAGTTGACACTAGTAAATAGCCCTGGTGGGCGCTTAATTGAACGATTTCATAGGCCTCGTTTAAGATTTCAATTGATTTGCTAATGTGCTAAAGAATAAAATTGTAAATTACATCAATGAATACTGAAATATTTTGGTGCTAGTGTGAGAAAGATATTTCGTTAGTAAAGAGCCACTCCTTAAAGCATAAACTTCAATCTTAAGTTTACTTACCGCCTGATAATCAAACTCTGTCAGCACCACCACACCATTACGATCACCCGAATACAATTTCATGGCATTTTTAGACCACTCACAGCAACTTATAGCACTATGATGCAAATCCCTTATTGTATAACGTTCTATGGGCTTACTGTTAGTGCAAGGAGCAACCAAATTTAAATCAGGCGGCAATTCTTTTTGGATTTGAAAGACATTAACCTGACCACAAGAATTGCCAGCTGCCACCATATACTCCACTGAATCTACTATTTTTACACATGTATGCGTGTTGTGGTCTAATAAACAAAAAGACATTAAAAAGCTATAATAAACCTATAAACAATGAAAAACCCCCTTCAATCACAGCCCAGCGTGTGAGTCATATTATGGAGTGGGGTTTTTTTAAATTTTTTCCCTCTAAGGATCCATATTTTCTTTTAAAAATCCTACCTCCGCCTTCAATTTTTGTATATCACCATTCTGACGATTATACCAGAATACTATACCGGCATCAGTACCCAGGGCAAAAAACTCCTCCACTGCATCGATACATGTTATATTGAGATCCGCCGGAAATAGGCCACGATTTATACGTGTTGGTATGCGATCAAGTACATCTGTTAAAGGAGCCCATTCTCTTATAGAATACAGCTCTTTGGAATTCATATTCCTTTGTTTTATGTAAAATATTCCTTTTTTTTTTTTTTGTTTATTAGCAAATAAAATGTAATTTTTTTCTGGTGGAGGAGACATTTGTGTTTTGCGAAAAAAAACTAGTTTGTCAACAAATAAAAGAAAATAAACAGATGTCAAGCCGGAGTGTTGCCGTATTTGGGCGTTTGTTTGAAATAAAGTGGCAGCTTTATTATAAAAACCCCATAGGAAATTTGAGTTTTGTACTCTTGTTAGTTTAATGTATTTTTAACAGATCTTACAATTTTTAGACTTAATGGTTCTGGAAGGTTTCAATAAATTATCTTAAAAATAATCGAAGAATCGACTTTTGTCGGAAAAAGTCGAAGTCTAGTTTTTTGTCCTAACAAGGAAAAAAGTCTTAAAAGTCGATAAATCTAACTTTTTAGGTTTTTCCAACAATTTAAATGATTAACTCATAATTAATTTTATTAATTGTTCGCATTCAACTTTGTTTTGTTTATTTTTGAATCAATTCAAAATCAAAAAAAATTCATGACTTCAAAACAAATTTGAATCGATTTTCGATTTTGCCTGATACAGCAACAACCTTTAAGTTTTTTGTTAAATGTGTTTTATCAAGTTTTTTAGAAACTATTCAAATTTTTTTTTTACATTTTAAAATTTGTTGTTATCGATTTCGGTGCTACCATACAAATACGTCATCCAATCCACAGTACTTCGTACAAAACGCTACATGGCAATACCCTTTATAATCTGGCATCTCTACTTATAGAAAAAACAGCTGGCAGCCAATTTAGTAGTTTTAATTAATTTGTGTGTGAAATTATATCGTAAAATTGTAATTTTGTTAGAATTTTAATAAATTAACTAATAAAATTTACCTAAATCTCATAAAGTAAACCAGAGACTGGTAATATGAAGTGTTATTTTTATATAAAATAAAAATTTTAGGAAATATCTATTAAACTTTAGAAATTTTGTTAAAAAACAATAATATCGATTACTTCTTTATCTCACCTGCAGTTTTAGTGTGTGGTAGGCATACAAATATTACCCCCTTCTTCTCACTTCCAAGACTGTGTTGTGTTGACTGATTGCCGAACAAAGTTCAGGACAATTTACAATTTAGTTCAAGATAATAATAATAGTTGAAAGTGAATAAACAAAATCGATATGTCGGAGAATGCCACAGCCAGCAATTTTCGCAGTCCCGTGGTGGCTGAACCTATTTTAATGCCCCCCACTATGGGTGCGGGTGGTGGTGATATGGGCATGTCTAGTTTGGGTTCAGATGCCATTTTTGAGAACTCCCGCTGGTAATGTACGGTCTTTGGCAGCACCTCCTTTGCCCATGGCTCCCACTTCACAATATTCATCTGCCGGTATGGGTGGTGGTGCTTATGCTGGAGGTTATGGTGGCTACGGTGGGGGCTTTGGTAGTTATGGCGGAGGCTATGGTGGCTTTGGTTCCAGTTATGGTGCTGGTTATGGAGGTTTTGGTGGACTAGGAAGTTATGGCGGCTATGGTGGTGGCTATGGAGCTTATAACCGTTTTGGCATGTCTGGTGGTGGCATGAATCCTATGGATCCGGAGGCCCGTTTTATACAATTAGCAGAAGCTAGTTCAAGGCCTGCCTTTCAGAGCATAGAATCTTTAGTATCAGCTATTGGCAACATCGCTTCTATGTTGGATTCTACTTTCTTTGCCTTAACCAGCTCATTTAGAGCTATTCTGGGAGTAGCTGCCAATTTTGGACGTTTGAGAGGTGTGTTTGCACAATTTTGGTCTACTTTTTGCCATATTCCGATGTCTAACATGGATCTACAGAAAGTAAGTTTCAACACAAATATTTATAGATTTAAATAATTATTAAATATTTTATTTTAAAGAATTCTCTATTGGCTGCGCATCTCTAACTTGGACCCCTCCTCGGAGTCGTTTAAGAAAGCTTTTGCTGAAGCCTTGAATGAGTCTTCAAGCCAACAACAGGGTGCTCCCAAGCTGCCACGCAAAGGTCAATCTCCTTGGCCAGTTTTAGCTTTCCTTAGTTTCATATTTACGGCTCCTTATTTGATTATGAAACTATTGGGTACTGTTACCAATACTGCACAGGAAGAAGGTATGTTTTTATTCTAATAAAATAATAATAGGCTTTTTTGTTGTTTCAAAGTGACAAAAAGATTATTGTTTATTTTTATCTGTTAACACAAATGCTGATAATAGATAGATAAAACTTGTTTGCATATTTTGAGTTAATTGCTAACCATGTATTAATTACTATTTTAGTAAGAATTTTTCGTTCAAATATTTTTCAAAAACTAAATTTTTAAATTCAAAATTAAATTCAAATATAATAAAATCAATTATATCTAGCCTATAGACCACTTTATAGTCTAGTCTTTAGCCTAATATATAGCATAGTGTGGTCTATAGTCTAGTCTAGACTATTGTCTAGCCTATAGTCTCTTCCATGGTCTTGCCTATATTCTGGTCTACAGTCTAGCCTATAGTCTAGTCTACTGTATAAAGAGTGGTCCGAACTGCTTTTTGTCATTTTAAAATCATTGTAGAATTCATATTTTAAGTCGTATTAACTATTGACACAAGAATGACGGTGATTATCTCTACTTAATATACAATATATGGTTTATTTTCAATAGCGTTGCCATATTTTTTTTTTGTCTCCTAACCTGCCTTTTTATTTTGATCACATATTTAATTAAGTGCTTTACAGAGGTTTCAAATTGTATTGAAACTTTTTTTAACATTTATTTACAAGTTAAAATGTCTTCAAAATTTTTAGTTATCTTCAACTAAAACTATCGTTTATTACTTCAGTTAGGGGCAAATAACAAGAGTAACCTCCTACGGTGAAACTTACCTTAGTTCGATATCTTCATAAAAATGTTGAAATTTCTGTGAATTTTATACAGTTACATAGAGAGAATAGAGAGATCCAAAGTTATAATCAATTAAAAATTAAAAAAAAAATCGGAACATGTTTTAGTCTTGTCCATAGTTTAGATTAGAATATAGTTTAGTCTATAGACTGGTCTATAGTCTAATCTTTAGTATAGTCTAGACTAAACTATAAACTAGCAAGACTAGACTATATATGTATATATATATATATATATATTATAGACTAGACTAGACTATAGAGAAGACAATAGACTACACCATAAACTACACTATAAACTAGATTAGACTATAGACTAGACTATATATGCTAGACTATAGACTAGACTATAGAATATACAATAGACTAGACTGTAAATTAGACTGTAGACTGGACTAGTCTATAGTCCACTATAGACTACACTATAGACTAGACTATAGATTAGGCTATAGACTAGACTATAAACTAGACTATAAACTAGACTATAGACTAGACTGCAGAATAGACTATAAACTAGACTACAGAATAGATTATAGAATAGACTATAGACTAGGCTATAGACTAGATCAGACTATATACTAGACTATAGACTTGACTATAGACTAGACTATAGATTAGACTATAGACTAGACTATAGACTAGACTATAGACTATACTATAGACTAGACTATAGACTAGACTATAGACTATACTGTAGACTAGACCATAAACTAGACTATAGGCTAGACTGTAGAATAGACAATAGACTAGACTATAAACTAGAATATAGACTAAACTATAGACTATACTGTAGAATTGACAACAGACTAGACTATAGACTAGGCTATAGAATAGCCCATAGACTACAAACTAGACTGTAGACCAGATTATAAACTAGACTATAGTCTTGAGTTTAGACTATAGACTAGACTATAGACTAGACTATAGACTAGACTATAGACTAGACTATAGACTAGACTATAGACTAGACTATAGACTAGCCTATAGAGTAGACTATAGACTAGACTATAGACTAGACTATAGACTAGACTATAGACTAGACTAAAACTAGACTAGACTATAGACTAGACTACTATACTATAGACTAGACTATAAGACTAGACTATAGACTAGACTATAGACTAGACTATAGACTAGAATATAGACTATACTATAGACTAGACT